CGCTAGCTTCGCGTCTCCCTGGTCTGCTGGGGGGAAGCAGCTAGTGCAGGGTTGCCTCACCCCGTTTGTAAGTAGGGATCCGATGTAAGTTGGATCCATGTAACCTGGGGACTGCCTGTAGTACACTTGTTCCCAAGTATGTGCTGGAACTTGGGATTTGTCCCCAGGTTCATGAGGAAAATCTGTTAAAAAAAGCTGATGTGCTTTAGTGCAGGGCTAATTTCTCTGTTATATTTAAATCTTCATGAACCGGTGCTTATAAATAAACCTCTGACACAAGAGGTATTACTACTGTCATTTCTAAGGAATCAGACTGAAGTTCCATGAATCCACGCCTTGGCTCGTCAAGTTAGTGAACAATCAAGTATTACAAAGCTGACATGCTTATGATCAGGAAGAGAAAATAGAGATGACAACCACCCTTCATTAGTTCCTTGCTATGCTGTTTAAAGGCTTAAGGGTGTCCTGACTCTAGTAGCTTTTCAAGGGTTTTCAAGGATGTCCACTCCCTCTGTCCTGCTCCCTGCCCTGGCCCCCAACCACCTGCACACCCCATATTTCCCACTGCAAGCAAATACGTAAGATGGGAATGGAATAGGTGAGATCAATTATCTATCATCTGTATCTCTTTCAGACTGGCCATTGAAATTTGCTAGGTCCTGGGGTAGAAGGCCCTAGACAATAGGGAAGACACCACAACTGTCACTAAATAATTATAAATGAGAGTGAGGGGGAGGCTATTATGGGCATATGTGTATTGACTTCAGTCAAGCCATGTATGGGCCTAGAGAAACCCACAACTCCCCCACTCCCTCAAAAAACTGGATACGCTTTCAAAAGGAAAGACGCTTATATTCCTGATCAATTAAGTTAGCTTTAAAAATTTGTGGCTCCCTTTGTTGTAATCATCCTCATTGCTTCTTTAAAGCACCTCTCTCTTCCATGCTGTGATACGTCAGTGACACATCAAGGAAACAACAACTGCACTTTTGCACTTGTACAATACTTTCTTCATTAGATGGAAGTTATTTTTAATACAGTAAAACTCCGATGGTCCGGCATCTGATGGTCCAGCCCTCCTGATGGTCCAGCACCATCAGGAACCTGGAAGTGCTCCGGGCAGCCGGACCATTGGAGCTGATCTGCCCCCAGCTTCCCTGATTCAGCCGCTGCTAAAACTGACCAGCGGCTGACTCCAGGAAGCCTGGGGCAGAGCAGCTGGGGTGCTGCTGGGTTGGTCCCATAGTGCTGCCCCTCGGGGTTGTGAGACCAACCCGGCAGCACCCCAGCTGTCCCCGATTCACCCACTGCTGAAATTGACCAGTGGCTAACTCCAGGAAGCCCGAGGCAGAGCTGCTCTGCCCCAGGCTTCCTGGAGTCAGCTGCTGGTCAGTTTCAACAGCAGCTGACTTGGGGACACCTGGGGCAGAGCAGCTGGGGTGCTGCTGGGTTGGTCCAGTAGCGCTGCTCCTCAGCGCTGTGGGACCAACCCGGCAGTGCCCCAGCTGCTCTGCCCCAGGTGTCCTGATTCAGCCACTGCTGACACTGAA